ATAGAGATATACAGCAAATAAACGGACCCTTCTCCAATTCATTCATGACGACTAAACATCCTAAATAAATCTAGTCCCATTTGCCAGCATTTGGCCCATATCCCTCTAAACCCTTCCTATTCATATACCCATCCAGATGCCTTTTAAAATGTTGTAATTGTACCAGCCTCCACCACTTCCTCTGGCAGCTCATTCCACACACGCAACACATTCTGTGAGAAACAGTTGCCCCTTAGGTGCCTTTTAAATCTTTCCCCTCTCACCTTAAAACTATGCCCTCTAGTTTTGGACTCCCCCCACCCTAGGGAAAAGATCTTGTCTATTTACCTTATCCATGCCCCTCATGATTTTATAAACCTCTAAGGTCACCCGTCAGTCTCCAACACTCCAGGGAAAATAGCCCCAGTCTATTCAGCCTCTCTCTATTCCTCAAATCCTCCAACACGGGCAACATTCTTGTAAATCCTTTTCTGACCCCTTTCAAGTTTCACAACATCCTTCCTATAGGAGGTGGGAGGCCGGAATTGCGAGCAGTATTCTAATAGTGGCCTAACCAATATCTTGTGCAGTCACAGAATGACCTCCCAAGTCCTCTATTAATGCACTGACCAATAAAGGCAAGTATACCTAACGTTGCCTTCACAATCCTATCCACGGGACACTCCACTTTCAAGGAACAATGAACCTGCACTCCAAGGTCTCTATGTTTAGCAACACTCCTCAGGACCTTACCCTTAAGTGTACAAGTCCTGCCCTGATTTGCCTTTCCAAAACACAACACCTCACATTTATCTAAATTAAACTCCATCTGTCACTCCTCAACCCATTGGTCCATCCAATCAAGATCCTGTTGTACTTTAAGGTAACCTTCTTCACTGTCCACTACACCTCCAATTTTGGCGTCATCTGCAAACTTACTAACCATTACACCCAGAAAATGACAAAATTTAGATGGGAGTTATTTTCTTTAAGATTGTATGTGATATCCTCAGTGATTTTTTTTTAAAATCCTGTGATAATTTTAAGAGTTAATATTTGAGCCAAAACCTAGCTCCAGCAAAAAATGCATTGTTCTGTCAGCTTGATATCAGGACTGAGGAGTTGTAACTATCAAGATGAATGAACAGGCTGGAACTTGAGGGGTCATCCAAAAAAAGGCCATTAAAATTATGAAAGGGCCTGATCAGATGAAGTGGAGATGTGTTTCCATTTATGGGGAAGATCAAAACTGGACGCCAGAAATATTAGATCATTACTAATAAATCCAAAGAATTTACAAGAAAAAGGCATTAACTTTCCAGATAGTAAAGAACTACACACAGAGGGTTTAATAGACAGATCACTGTTGTCATGAAAAAGTACAGGAAATAATTGAAGAGATTACAGGAATGTCAGCCTTTAGAAACAGGAGGTCGAGAACACAAAAAGGTAGAAGTACTACTTCAACTATAGAAAGCCAAACATGTCAGATCAAAACTGGAATACAGAGTAGTTCTGTGTATCATATCCTAGGAAGAATATATCTGCCTTAGACAGATCAGGTTGGGTTTATCAGAGTGATACTTGACCTTCAAGGGTTAAAATAGAGGAAGACATTAGACAAACTGGAGTTGTATTGCTTGGAACATAAGGTAAGGGGATGATGTGATCAATGTTTTCAAGATATTGAGAAGAACAGGAAGCTTCTCCCTCCCTCTCCAATCTCACCAGATGGGCTGTCTAGCAATGAAAAAAGTCAAACTCAGGAAAAGCCTCTACACACAAGAAATGGTAGAAAAATGCAACATTTTTCTGTAAATTGCACTTGATGCTAGATCAATTGTAAAATAAAAACCTGACATTATTAAATCTTTGGTAAGAAGAGATTAAGGCAACTATGGCCAGCTAGTGCTTTTTTTGAAAAGAAAGAGAAAATTGACAACTGGATTTTGTAGGGTCTATTTAAGTAGCTATAATAAGTAGCTCATGTCCCATGACACTGCATTTAGGGACTTAGTACCAAATGTAGGCTTCAGATGAACTGCAGTTGGCATGCAGGAGATAATTAGATCAGCATGCAGAGAATTCAGCCCACATTTAAAGTCATTTTCTCTCCATGTCCCTGTAGCCATTTGAGTTTGCACTGTCTTCATAGGCAGCAAAAGTTAACAGCAATTTGTAAAACACATTTGTTTTGATGATATACCAGAGTTTGATCTTGTAAATGCTAATCAGAAACTTTACATAAAGGCTCGACATTGAGCAGATGGATCATTACAAATGCACACATCCACTTTCAGCACAGGTTCTACACAAACATGAAAAGCTTATATAATATCCAGATTGTACCTTTACCACAATTGCCTCCAAAAGAAGCTGTCTTCCAATGATACAGATGAGTAGCCTGGGCCTGATAGAGAATTCCTTGCAAAGTAATTTCAATTCTCCGTTATCTCCACTGTGGTAAATGTATTGACCTGTGGCTGGGTGCCTCCCCATAAACACAAAAGGACAAATGCCAGTTGTATTTTCTCAACCCTCAAAACATCAGTCTGTTGCAACAAGAGGCCCTGGAAGAAATACTCTACCTCCCAGCCACAATATGGAGAGGAGCAGGGTCAAATATCTGATCAATAAAACTCTGCACTGTAACTGGAATCAAAGAAAAAAAAGTAATGGGCTCAGATAATAATTACTCCTCCTGGGCAAAAATATTGTTACCAGAAATACCCAGGAAGAGTTAAGTACATGAATGTGCTCAAATTCCAAGGAAAAAAAGCGGAAAAATGTTCCTTCCAAATATCAACCTTACACAGCTTTTTATCCATCAAAAGTTTGCGTAATGGCTTGTGTTCAGATATGTTGAAAGTAAGTTTAACTCCCAAAAAAGTTGGGTTGGAACTTTCTGAGATGTAGCATTGACAAATTATGGTACAGAAACAGCCCATCGTGTCTGTGCCAGAACAAAATGTCAAACCCAATCCGAAACTTGCCCACTTCTGGATTTAACAGAAGCATGGCACAGGGCAGAGAGCTAGTCTGCTCCCAGAAAGAGGGTTAGAAATTGAGATACTATAAGACTGCAAACTCTCATAATTAAGCCATAATACATGTACAAACCCATCCAGCCGGGTTTCTCAGACTTTTGATTACTAGTAGTACAAGGGAGACAAAGGCAGCTTTTGGATAAGGGGCCTTTCACTATTTTTGGGACAGCAGAAACTGTTCTTTGTCCCAGTTCTCCTCCAAGCTTTTGTTTGTTCATATTGGATTGCCATCACGCTACCATTAAAATCACAGGGTTGGGGATTGAACACCCTTCATTATGATCCCTCTACACACAGCAACAGGTTTCAGATTGTTCCCATTCAAGCAGCCATATCAGGTAAATGGGGAAATCCAAACATGCTGGTTACCTGACCAAACCTCCTTCCCTCCTCCACCACCTTCCTAAACTCAACCAACAAATATTTTGTCTCTCCTACCTTGCTTCATTTCTATATTCCTGTTTCTATTTCCCGGTCAGTACAATATTAAAATGGGGATTCACCCTCCCAATTGCAGCCCTTAATTTCACCTTGGCACTAACTTAGATTTTGCTTTAAATAAGATGTGGACATCACTTTTATTCACACAGAAATTGCTCCATAAGGATGGAGGATGGTTAAAGCAGCTTCCCATACTTTCAACATGAAAAAGGCATCCAGATTTCACTAAACAACATATATACGTAATACTTGGCTCAATGCTCAGTTTGAGGTGTCGACAAGTCAGCGGACCTTCTCTTCGGCCTGGTCAAGGTGAAAAAGGAAGGCGATGTTGCAGTGAGATTTTACTGTAAGGACTGTACATCACCAAATGCTTAGTTCCAAAATAAAGAAAATTATCTCAATGCTCAAAAAAATTACAATTTTTAAAAAATTTCACTTGCTGTTCGCACCAAAAGAGTTAGATGCATAGTAGACCTGCCTCTATCCTGACCTAGTAGCAAATCAGTAGCCGATCACTGCAACAGTTTCCATTTTCTACACCAGCACACAAACCAGCCCCTCTGAGCAAGACCAACAATGCTGAATTAGGTCATTCACTGCTGTGGAACTAGATTCTGACCAAAGTTATTTCGTGTAGGACCAGTACAACCAACTAGAAAAAGAAAACAAACTTTGAACTCATTAGTTTAGGACAGGGCACATGTTGCAAGATACTGACTATCCACCTCACAGAAATACCGAAGAGCTGTAGTAATTGGGCAAATGCAAAATTTAATAAATATTTAAATAGATATTTGCATTGATATTGTCTTTTATCTAGCCTCCATACATTCCAAAATGCTTTACGGACATTTTGTAAAGCAAGTAACTTTGAAGAGCTGTAATAGGAAAAATGCAGCAACGACTATATGCACAATAAGATTTCACAAACAGCATGTGTTAAATCACCTTCTTGAACAGTGTTACTCGAGGGATAAATATTAACCAGGGAATCTAATTCACTTTAAATATGACCATAAGACAGAGGAGCACAGGTAGGCCATTCAGCCCACAAATCTGATCTGCCATCCAATAAGATGATTGCTGATCTGAGAATCCTCAACTCCACTTTCCTGCCCATTCTCCTCATAATACATTGCATCCATACCTGTGACTGTCTTATTGAACCTTTTCACGACTACGTCCACTGCCAGCATAACATGTCTTTGAAATAGCACTTGGCTTTTTCTTTTACCCAAGGGGCAAACAAATCAATTAAGTATCTCACCTGAAAGTTGGCACATACGCAAGTGCCTCCCTCAAACATCAACCTGACCTGTACGTTTAGGTTTCTGGAGGTGTCTCTCTCACTAACCCCATCCTACCCAGAGAAGTTTACATTCAAGTTGAAAAGTTTTTGATTTCAAGCACCTAGAAATAGCAACAAACCTTATGGGACAGCAGCCAGAGTGTAACTTTCTCTAATTTTCACCAAGATGAAAACAAATACAGGGAAGAGAGAAAAGACCCCCAAAAAAGCAAACACAACCATTTTGCTGAACAGGATATCACATTTATTACTGAGAAGTGATTAATAATGAAGAAAGGGCAAATTCCCAGCTTTTCACTGTTGATGAGGAGTGGAAAAAAAAAGATTAAGCAGTTTTTGTTTTTCCAAAGTTCAGTGTCCAAAAAAAAAATTCCTTACAGTATTCCTTTAGTCCAGTCTTCTTTTTTAATTAGGTGGATGTAGACTTAATTGGCAGCAATTTAAAAAAAATGTTCACCTTAACTGTTGTGAACAGTAACCATTTTAATTTTTTTTCAACGGAAGGAGGGACAACAGAGAAGTAACAGCTCTTTCCCGGAGCATTTTCAAAACGAAACGAGCAGCATTTGCAGGAAAAGGTGGGGTGGGGGTGCAGTTCCCAAAACGGCCTGGATGCTTTAATTTGGGCTCCATAAATTAAGCTCAAGTTGGAGAAGGAAATCTATCCACATGCTGACCCAGCTGTGCGATGCCTTTTCGATGCTGTGAGGCCGCTGATTTCTTTTCCAAGGAAATATATTTAAATGCAGCCCATGAACCATAAAAATCAAAAATTGATTTTAATTTTTTTTCAAACAGAAGGAAAACAAGTTGTACCACTTTGTAAAGTCACAACTGATAGTTGAGAAAGGATTTTTTTTAAACATTTTTCCCCACCTAGTTCTTGCTATCGTTCCCAAAGTTCTATAGAAGAGGATTAACGTCTGACAACTACAAGTCTGAAAGTCGTAGAATTCACTGAAAAATGAAAGAAGGTGCGTGGGAAGGGAGGGGACAGGACAGGAAGAGGGATCTTCATTATCACTCAATTTCTTGAAGAAATTTCAGGACATGACACTTAGGTCGACGTCACATTTCCAGAGAATACATCGTTACTTGACACGACCTTGACGTTCCTGTAAAGAAAAGGCAAAGGTTTAATCCAGTTATTGAAGCTGGCTTAGGTTTAGTGACAGCAAAATACAAACTGCACAATTAGAAACATTGAGGGAAAAACCCTTTATAACGGAGATGGTTAGAATAGAATGCTGCGCTGTTGAATCAAGAGTCCATAAGTTTTTTTCAAAGGGGCAGGTTCATATACTTTAATATTCTTTTTCAAACTATGGACAAGGAACTGAACTACATGACTTGCGCATAAAATGAAAAGCACAAATTCCTTGGAGTGTGTCTATCTCAGTACAATCTTTGATTCCATTCGTTATCAACTAGGTCACAGTATACCTAGAACCTGCTTTCCCTGATTGATGATGGCAATTAAAATCTGCTAAAGCCCCTTTCGAGAGAGTTGGTTAGGGTTAGTGTGAAACTAATACATAGTAGTTATTAACCCTGTGGCTATGTGCTGAATTATCAACTGGCAGACACAGGAAGTGAACTGCAAAAATGTCCAATTTCTTCAAATCTCCAAACACTTCACTATTTCTATGTCTAAATACTTCTGAGAGGCTGTCATCTGTGTAGGAAAACATGGTCACAACTTGCACACAGCACGTTCTCACAAAACAAAGACAGCATTGTCAAATTATCTACTTCTGGTGTTTCCAATTAAGGAAGATTGTTGACCGGAACAGCAAGGACATAGTTTTTCAAGCACTTTGTTATAACAAGGACACCGGACTCTCTGACCCTCATGAGGTGGTGAGTGTGTTGCGCATGGAGAATACAGAAAACAGGATCATGAAGGTGAAAGGAGGGGTGGGAAATTTCAGCTAAGAATTAAAACCCTAATTATCAGTGGTTCCTGCTAGGAAGTGTGGGTGTTAGAGGAGTTTGGGACAAACGTAAGGCTCTCATAATAGAAAGATTGGTATTTGTTAAATAATTTGACTGAACAGGACAGCATAAACCAGTCTTACAAGTCATATCAGGGCAGAACTAGGTCAGAGGTTAGGTGGCATGTTTTATATACCAGCATGAACCTGTGAAACAGGTTAGCAGGTTGTGTAATGAAACTTGATCCACTTAATTCCTTAAATTGAAAGCTGGAGCCGTTTCTGGCTGAGGGAGGTTTCCTCACACAGAGGTGGATACCTCATGCTGAAAAATAAGCAGTGCAGACTCTTGGGCTAGCTTTGATCAGTTAAGGGGATTGAAGACAAAATTGTCAGAGCTTTTCTACAGTCCGTATTGGTTTCTCCGCTCTTTTAAGAGTACCCAGCTCAAAGAAATGTAGCGGGGAGTGTCTGTATTGTGATGCATAAGATATCACAACTGTGTGGGATAAGTGAGTCAGACCGGAAAGTCTTTACCCTTGTTTCGTATGTTTTAAGTCCTTACATAAAGGATGACCTTTTAGGACGATGCAGGAGGAATCCTGGAAACCTTGCATCCAACCAAAGGAAAATCATATTTAGAAACAAATATAGACAGGAAAATAAATTGTCATTCCAAATGGCTCATGTTCTAATTATTTCTTTAACCCTAGCAGCAATTTGAGGTAATTACAGTCTTCCTGGACTTATCAGTCCAACATGTATTTAGTTCATACCAACGATTAATAAGCTCACAGTAATAATGCCATTTGTAAGGTAGTACCTTCACCTCAATGCTAACCATTTTGATAACACTAACTCACTTTTTCACAAGACTGGCTGCTCAAACTTCAATCGTATACTAATATATCCAAACTTTGGTTTGAATTTAAAGGCAGACTTTAAAAAACATGTACTTTTAGTTCTTTTACCCTCTTTCCCACCATCTATTTAAGGGAGGAGATAGCAATGGCAGAAGCAAATTGGGATCTCTTTTTCATCATAGTATCAAGTCCTTGCTTTCAAAGGCCAGAAAACAAACTCCAAATACAGTATTATGGACCAGTCACACAGAATACTGCTCAATTTTGACATACTCATTCAAAACGTATTACTTGTAAGATTTGTAACTTCAGACCTAGGATGACAAGGTCATTTTGGGCTGCATTAAAACTATTTACTTGCTTTGTTTTATTGGGACGCATTACTCATCTACACTATCAAGATCCCAGGACACGTTAAAAGAACACACAGCATTCCTATACATGGCACCACGCTTATGTGTTACTCAAACCAGATGCATTAGACTTTTTGCGATTGGCACTATGGATCTTATTTTAGAGTGAGTTTACAAATCACTTTACTCACATTACAAAGTTTAATAAATGTCAATGTGTTTTCCTTTTGGGTGAGGTGTTAACAACTGCACCCAAGAGAAACATCACCACCTTTTGTTTTTGGTGTGGGGGGGGGGGGGGGGGGGGGGGGGGAGGTATTTGCTATCTGATTCACTGCACTTCTGTCAGCATCCTGAAAGAGCAAGTTTCCACTTTCTTGCTTTTCCCAACAGTTGTGCACAATTCCTTTTCAAATAGTTACTCTTTGAAAATTACAACTAAATCTGTTTCCACCAGTTTGTGTTCCAGATTGTAACATTTTGCTGAGGTAAAAATAAAACTCAAACCCCTCTATAAGCTACTGTATTATTGTTTTTAAATTATGCACAAATGTGCAAAGATGAAGATCGTGAATCTTTTTAAGTAGATCAGTTTACAGCTAATCACTGCAAGTACATTAGCAGAGTTATGATTAAACCTACAATCATGTCTCTTCTTATCCCAACCAATGCCTTTTTCAGAGAAAGGCACATCTAGGCTATTCTTTCATGTGCTTACTTCACACATTTAAGTTTCTTTTCTCAATGCTTTTGTTGCATCAGTTTATACTGCAGCTCATTGAACACATTCAGAAATTGCAAACCATCACTTTCCCAGGATATGAAACAGAAGCCACTGGCTTGTAATAGTGACATCACCAGCAGGCTACTCCACAGGGCATGTTTACATTTCACATATACTCCATAGCACTCACCAGGGCCCACTATTTGGGAAAAAATGCAAATTACAGTCCAGTCAATCTAAGCTCATAGAGAAGGGCAGACAGACTGTACTGGAATTCTATCAGTACAATAGCAAAATTAATCTGGAAGTTCAGACTGTATGCTGAAGAACATATCTTGTATGAGACAGGTCAATGTGATTGCTACTTATGATTTATTAGAACAGTATATTTTGCAAGTGCTGCAGGCCATTCCAAAATATTCTGGTGCAACCTGGTGAAAAACTGAATAGATATTGGAATCTGGACATCAGACATCAATACTGAATAAGCAAGAGTTGAATTTAAAGCCTAGTGTCATAAAACCACATTTCCTCTTTTGTTCAGACAGATCCTTGAAGAAGAAATTAATTGTTGGGAACTATGGAAAAGATTTGCCCCCACATATGTCATATTGAGTCTGCCAGGCATCATACATGAGTGTCTAAAGTTTAACAAGCTTTGTTTAATTAAATTGCATTCATTTCACAAAAAGGCAAATAATACTAACTCTTTAGAATAAACAGTATTCTTAAGCATCTCCACTGGAGTGCAAGTGTCTTTTGCATAATTTAACATTTTTCTGTCCATAAATGTTTAAGTAATGCATAGAATTCCAAGAAATTAGGTTTCTTGAAACCCAGGGTAAACCAATAAATTATATCACACTAAAATTCCGAATGTACTTATTGTATCAATTATTGTTGCTATTTGCCAGTGATTGTTCAGTATTTTACAGCTTAAAGCTCTTGGGGAAATTAAAAAATATTGTATTAAATCCAAGTCAAATTGTATTTATTATTGCTCTCCATATATGGTATTCAGTATCCCAACTTTTGTAATGGTGTATGCACAGAACGAGAAATATGTATCTGCTAACACAACTGATACAAAATTAACCCTGTTTCAAGACTCGATCCAACTGTCTTTGTTTTTCCCTTCTCAGCCAGTTCAATCTCATGACCTTTTACTGTAGTACCTACTTGCACAAGCATCAAATTCTTTATGTAAGGGAATATACAAGTACAGACATCTTGTACAACTATGCAGGGAACTGATAAGACCACACCTGCATGACTGCATACAGTTGTGTTTTCAGGTGAACAGTTCACTAGGATGAAGGGCTTGTCATATCACAGAACTGCAAAATTGCCAAAGAACAGAGAAGGCCACGAGGAAAGGTTGAACAGGTTTGGCATATGCTCATTGGAGTTTAGAAAAATGGGAAGTGACCTTATTGAAATATCAGATTTTGAACAGGTAGATACTGAGACATTGATCTCCTCCTGGGAGAATCCAAAATCTGGGACAAATTATTTCAAAAATAAGGGGTCACCCATTTAAAAGAGATGAGGAGGAGTTTCTTCTGAGGGAGGATGGGATGTTGAATATTTTCAAAGCTGAGTTAAGAAAGATCTTTGCACTACAAGAGAGTCAATGGTTATGGAAGGCAAGCAGGAAAATAACAGTTAAAACCACAATCAAATCAGGCACGATCTTACTAAATGCAGAGCACGAGAGAGGGTCCAAATGGTCGTCTCCTGCTCCTACTGCTTATGTTTTTTAATTTGTCAATTTCTATTACCACCATTTGCAATCTCAATTCACGTACTTTCAATTATCAAAATAAATCTAAAGACCCATATACACCTGCAAAAATTGAAAAAAAGTTTACTACCTCAGCAAAACCAAACATTGGAATACTACGACTTACTTCTGTAACTTGCTAGGAGGAAAGGCATGGGGAGGGAAGACATACATTCTTATACACACAAGTGAATGCAGACTCAGTTGAACCAATCATAAAGATAGAAAACAGAAGCACATGTAGGTCATTCAGCCCTTTGAGTCTGCTCTACCATTCAATATGATCATGGCTCATCATTTAATTCAGTATCCTGTTCCCAACTTCTTCCAATACACTTTGATCCCTTTAGCCCTAAGAATTATGTCTAACTCCTTCTTGAAGTCATTCAATGTTTTGGTCTCAAATGCTTTCTGTTGCAGAGAACTCCACAGACTTTCTGGGTTAAGAAATTTCTCAT